CTTTCAGGTAGTTTCTTATCACGCATTCTGATCTCTGAATCGAGCGAGATATCGCTCGGACGGAGAATCCTTCATCCTTGAGGACCGAAATTTTTCCCTTTTCGAAATCGCTCAAACGTGGACCTCGACTTGCCATCTTGACACCACGAAGAATTCTTCCCGAATGATCCCATTCCATTCTCAGTGAATTCACGAGAGCTCTTGTCAGACTCATTTTGACATTCATGGCACTTTAGCGAACATGATGGTCATACCTCGAACAATGAGTTTGACTGGCGATTCTGGCCTCATCGAAGTGCGATGAGACTCCGCGATATTCAAAAAGCTCCGATAAGTCGCCCCGGAGCCTTGGCCGGGCGGGAAACGGCGTCGGTCGGGGTGCGCGCATACTTTTGTTACAGATTAGGGCTGGAAATTTTGCGTTTTTTCCATGGAAAGTATTGGCATTTCTCACTCGATTGGAATATTCTAGATCGGTTGACGTAGGATTGTAGCCCCCGGAGAGAGGATTCTTTTCCACAAAGTTTCATCGGAATCCATTGAGGCGTTCAAAAGTTAGAGGGAAAATTCCAAGTGCGCGCATACTTTCGTTACACAGTGTACTACCGCGCAGATGTATCTCCATCTGGAATTGTTACATGGAGTTTAAGTTGATGCATCAGCTGCAAGATGATGAATTCTACGCGGCTAATGAGAGGGACGGTCGTCTATCTACGGGCTACCGTGCGCGCCGCGCCGTTACGTTTTTGGCGAAAACCGGAACGATGAGATCGTAGATTTTCAAATTGACAAAAACATTCAATGGTTCACTTCTCACGTCCGGCGTCAACGATCAGCCCGAGTCCTGGGATCGAAACCCCTCATGGAGAGTCAAACGCCCCAGCGATCTCTGATCGGGTGCTCCGATTTCGGGGTCATCTCCAGGGACAAATATCCAAGGACGCGACGCATATTTTGGAGGGGAAAACTTCGATCTCCACCCTCATGGATGCGGTCGTTTCTGTTTTCAGCTTCGTACCGACTCTAGTTGATGGGATTTGTCGGAGATATCGCAGGTGCGTGAGCGCATCTCTCGACGGAGGGACATCGAATCGAAATGAAGCTGAAAGACAAACTCAGGACGAAGTCTCCGAGCGCGGCAGGTTGACTACCTGGCAAGCGAACAGGCAAGCTAGCTAAAATGTAAACACAGTCCGTCCCCAGTCTGCGCCTCTGAGGGGCACCACCTGGTTGTAGCTTTCGACTGCCCTGTACGAGACTACTCGCTGTATATAATCCGCGGATGGTTGGCGCTGTTTTCTGGAAGCTCCCATCGACTGTCGATCCGGTCAGGAGTAAGCGACAGCGCAGCTTCCAGAATTGATGAAGTGCATCACGACGGCGACGTATCCTCTCACGGGAATACGCTGTGAGGTGAAATATGCCGTGCTCGTAAAAAGAAGCGACCCACTCAAGCACATCCGCCTAAACAGACGGTCCCGCCAGGCAGTCGACAAATCAAGCAAACAGAAATAAGCGCTCTTCCTCCTCGAATCTGATTCACGTTATTATATTACGCGTTTTTTTCCATCATCAGCGTCGATTCAGACAATCGGATGGAGAATTCACGATACGCACAGCTTCCCGAGGCGGCGACCGAGCGCGTAAATCTAGTGACGTCTTTCAGAGGCGAATAGCTCCTCGTTCTGGAACGAGGAGCTATTCGGGACGTAGAGATCGTCATCCGATCTCCTCGCGAGGAGAAACGCTCACGACAATCCCAGTGCGGGCGGGATCGGACGACGTCGGAGACATCGGTCGTACGGACGAGCCGTATAAGCAGTGTCCGTTTATGGTATCGCGTAGAAGACGGGCGATATCTGCTCACCTTTCTCGCCGGACGAAGATTGTTTCCTATCGGGAATTATTTTCGGGTCGTAGGGAGCCACAACTCCCCCACTGAGATCGAGTTCCTGTCCATCTAGATCCCACAGGATGGTATTATTGGACTCCACGCACGATGCCGACACGGCAAACAACAAAACGAAGACGAGAACCGTCATCACTGCGTGAGTCGTTCCTCTTTCACTGGACTTCGAGCGAACTCATGTCGTCCAACTTCACCACTTGTTCACAACACTTGAAGTTTTCAGAGGAACGTGCTTGAGAATTTTCCACAACCAGACAGTTCGTTCCCCGGTATCACGACAGCTAGCGGCAGCGACAGGTCTCCGACGCTTGGCTCAAGGCTCCAACCTCGGCTTGGTGCCGTTCGGCTGTGGTGTCTTCGGCAGCGGCTTCCTCAGGGGGCGCTGGTGCATGGGAACAAGTAAGAAGCCTTCTGCTGCTGCCGCTACTTCTGCTGCTGCTGCTGCCGCTGCTCAGGCTCGAGCTGTTGTGGCGAGCTAGCACGACGAGCAACGGCCGGCCGTAGCTCTCGTTGCCTGTCTGCTTGTAAGACGGGGGAGGCCGTCACGGTATTGTCCCAGTGGGGTTCCCCAGCCTAGTGTCGGACTCTGCGTCCGACAACGACTGGTCTCCGAAACCGGGCGGCGTCCTCGACTGACCGAGCGACTAAGCAATCGGTTGCTTGGCGAGCAGGGGCAGATGGAATTCTCTATGTCACAAGTTCCCAGCGACTCGATCGACGATTCCTAAAAGCCGACCAGTTGAGCTTAAGCTACATGGATGCAAAAAAAGCGAGGCAAAAAAATCGAAATCCCATGATCGGGATCTTTTTCGATATGGAAAAGTTCGGAGAGCTTGTACAGGAGCCACGGGAAGAAACTTCCCTCGTAGATGTAAACGAAATATGGACTCGCGTAAACCGAGATGGTGCCTGAATTCTCGTCTCAGAATTCACGCCCGTAATTCGCCCGGCTCCTCGAAGAACCCGTCTCGAGAGCCTGTAGTGGAACATTCCCACGCACCTTGTCCGATCGGTGGACACAGCAATTTCGATTTGATGGAGGACTGTGACAATGAAACGATCCCTGAAGATGACCTTGTTCCGAATCTATCCGTCATCGCTGCAGTTGAAGCGAGCCAAACATAAATATCAATGAACTCCTAACCATCGACGGCGGGCTCATCTTCTTCTCGACGACCCTTACTCAAAACAGTCCATCCGTATTTAAAGTATTGGAATGTCACGGATAATTGTTTCGATTCAGCTCGAGCATGGGAAGCTTGACGGCACGCCTCGCAATTTTCCTCGCGTTCTCACCGCATCGAGGCTTTGGAGTGCCTTGTGAACCGAACGTGTCGCCTCGGCGCAGTGCTTTCCAAGACGTTTGTCAAGCCCTCCCGGCCTACGATGCGGCTTTCAACGATATCAACATGACTCAGAAGGTTCGTGAGATTTTGGGAACACAGAGCATTGATGTTTAGTGGGCTGTTTCCGTTTTCGGGAAAATGGACCATGTATGAGGAAATAGGTCAGGCTGAGCTCGAGTAACTTTTCCGACGCTTCTCCTTCGTCGCAGGTTGAGATCCTGCAATTCCTGGAGGATAAGGTCGCGGCCGCTCTCGATTGCGAGGAGCTGGAAACCCTGTCCCCCGGCGCTCTCGCGGAGCTCCTGTGCAAGCCGTGGAGAGTTGAGGAAATTCGTGTTTTCCGTGCGATATGGCGCTGGCACCAGCGAGATTTCGGACGCTGGGAAGGAAAATCGAAGGATCTGCTCAATAAGGTCTCTTCCTTCGTTCAATCACCAAGCGGTTCACGATCGAATTTCAGATTGGCGCCTATCGATACGGTGCGGGAACAGGAGAACCGAGACTGAAAGAAAACTTTCTGCGCGATTTCAGATCCACCTGGCCGCCATACCGGCAGCGCTCCTGCAACACGAAGTTCTCCCTTCGAAACTTTTCGACTGTGCGCTGATCGTTGACGCTCTCGCCGTGAAAATTCGATTCGCCGACTCCATAGATCTCTTCCAGCGCTTCATAGGCCAGGAGAGTTTGAATGTGAATGTGATCAATGCCTCTCAGGGAGCCAGCGTGATATCCGGCACAGATGGCGAGGTTCTGCTGTCGAAACATCTTTTTCAGAAGCCCAGATGCGCTCATCATGCACTGAGCGATACTTCGGGAATAACGATCAAACTCGGAACATCTCAAGTCATAAATTCTGTCCTTGTGCATCTTTTCGACGACGACGGACGCGAATACTCTTACTACGTCGAAGTCTCAATCGATGGGATCTCGTGGTCCAGGATAATCGATCACACTGGCGATCTCGTGAAGGGCAAGGTTCTGGACAAGATTCCGCCAACCGAGGTGGGCTTCGTCAGAGTCGTGGGAACTCGCAACACGAACGAGCGGAGTAAGAACAGTTTCCACTTGTGTGAGTTGCAAGCCGCTCTCTCTGAGTGATCGTCCGACCCCAACCGGTTGGGGCGAAATGGTTTCCGCCAGCCGATCAGAATCCATAGAATGTTCGTGGAAGCGTTCCGTTGAAAATCACCTCCCTCATCGGGATTTCTGACAATAAAATCCCTCATCTTTCGCTGTGCTATCTGCTGTTTTGCCGTAGAGCTTGGAAACGAGTAGTTTCTGATCGATGGAGTCCAAAAGGACAGCATTCGCGAATGCATTCAATCTCTTGTAGTCGGGATCGGTTGGAGGAACCGTTCCTTGTGTTGTTTCCCACGCTCGAGGTTCTGTCATCAGTATTACGGGAATCACTGTTTTCCATGCTAAGAAATCGTGACCATCCTGTGCTAGAACTACGTTATAGAGATTTGCGTATGCTCGGTTTGGACCGGACGTGCTTGCGGAATCTTTCTTCGAATCAGTGAGTCAGTTTTCGGAGACTATCGCAGATCATCCCTGGAGACTCTTTGTCTTTTTACTCGTAGAGGTAAATATTGTCCCTCTGAGCGCTCGAATATCGCTCTGTTCCCGGGACGGTAAGGACGGGGAGGTCCTAGTGAGCTTGCACGACCGAAATATGCATGTTGAGGTTGCTGGAAAAATCCACTTGCATCGGATCTTCAGATCAGCCGTACAGTTTTCTGTCTCATTTTCTTTATTAAAAAGGTGAGCACTGTCGGGTGGTATCTCACCGTTGAGCCTCGCAATCATTTGATAAAACGAGGCAAATCAGTATGACAGATGTCAGGTCAGAAAATTCGTCCGCCTCTCTTGAAGAACTCCTGGAGAGTCATTTTCAATTGAGATCCTTGTCGGGGGTTATCACACAGTGATGGTAGCCACATGCCTGAGCCCATGGCTGAAGGGCCCATGGCCGCATGTGGGTATTGCGCAGAATTTGGTGTAGCCGCCAGGCACCGCATTTGATTCGTCGCCAGGTGACTCGGATCCATCTGGCCGTGGTAAATAGGGGGATTCATGGGACAGAAACACGAAGCTTCATCTGGTCGCATCATGGGAGTCATGGGGACGAAGGGAAACGTGTGACCACCACCTCTGCAGCTGCAGCACATTCCTTGCGGGAAAGTCGGCGTATCATAGCAAAGACGCTCTCTCGCGCTCTGACACGGGTTGCGTAGGGGAATAGACTCCATACTTTTACTCCTTTTGGTCATCGTAGCGATTCCGGGGTGAATATTGTTCGTCTCTTCTTCTGACGTGGCGCTGTCTGAACTCTGCGAGAGCTCCTCCCGGTCATCCGATGGCATTTCGGGTGATGCTCTGACGGAGGTCTTTGCCAATACCTCCTCACCTACGCTCGCACTCCTCTGTCTAGGGACCGCCGGGAGTTGCGGTTTCGTCAAGCTCACTATTTCTCCTACAGGTATTTTGCCTTGCAGGGCAGCATCCAATTGCTCCCTCCAAGTGATTCGAACAATACAGTTATCTCCCGGCATCAGAGGCGTCTGTAGATGAAGACTATCCAGAGAGTCGGGCGAAATCGAAACACGCATGAGCGTGATATCGAGACACACGAGGCATCCTTGTCCACCTGGTTGAGGATCGGCGCTGCGAATAACGGATGCCGTGTACTCCGCTGGATCGACTGGCTCCAACTGGGGAGATAAAGAAACTGCTTTTATCGAGCCGTGCGGACGACCCGTGCGCAATGAGCTCCCATGGACACGGAGACATCGGAATCGTCGCAGGTTCCGGAGGGGAAAGTAGTCCGTCGTGACGGAGTCAAGCTTAAGAACTCACTCTCTCAGCTCTGAATGGCACGAAACTCTGCATGAAGTCGTCGGATTTTTCCCGGATGGAGAATCTCATCTGCATGCCGGGATGGAGAAGTTTCTTCTCGAACGGTTTCAAGTCCATGTCTTTTAGATAAAATACGGCTTCTTCACCTCGCATCGTCATCGGTGTTAGCAGTTTCAAAAATCCGAAAGGTTCGGGCTTCTTGAAGAAAAGTTTTTTTATCATGCCCGTGGCACGTTCTCCAGATTCCTCCGTCTGCAATCAATGTGGCTAATGAGTCGATGGAGAAACTGGTCGATGGAGTTGAAATTCTATGGGGAAGATCATCCTGGTCCTCGATCCCTCGGCTACGATCCACAGGATGCACGGGGAAAAATTCGAGACGAGGAAACGGAGCCTTTCCCGCTCCTTTCTGAACTCATCGCGAATTTTTGACGGCATACTTCACTCCGAGAGAAGCAACTCCGAGTGGAGAGGAACTCGGGAAAGGCGTCGATCGGCTTACCATTTTTGGAAATAGGGATGAAAAATGATTTATATTCGAGTACGATAGGAGACACCGAGTTGACAACAAGCACTCGACACGGAGCCGCGAACGTCCCGGCGGGATTTCAGAGTTCGAATGTGTCTTGAATGTTCCGAACAGTGGACGTTGACGTCGTAATAACATCCCGTCCATCGATTAAGGCGTGAACCTTCCGTCGGTTTTGCGATGAAATGAGAAGCTACACCCGAGCACAGCTAGGTGAGCGATTTCCGTTCAATACCCGATGAGAGGGAACGTGAATGCGATGGAACGGGGGATTGTCTGACGATTTTCGGGAATCGACTCTCTTGTCCGAAACGTTCCGCCGGTAGAGCACTGTCCCACGCACTTCGGAATTATTGCGCAGGCAAGCTGCAGGAGCAGCATGGAAGCCTCTCATTGAGTATAGGATGGAAGACGAGCTCGCTTAATTAAAGGATTATTTATTAAATGTTTAAATATAGACTCTTCATACAACTTAACGGCTACCATAACTGAGATCATGCTGAGTCTCCATCTTCACTGCCTTCTTCCTCAAGTTGGGACAGGGTTTGCTCGACGACTTCTTCGGGAGCTACCTTACACGCAGGATACGCTCGCGTGCAGATATCGCGAGACCTTGAGCTCGCTCCTGTAGACATGGCGAACTTGATCGGGGTCCATGGCTCGGACTCGTCATCGCTCAGTGCGTTCAAGAAGTCGAGGATATGGTCGGCGAAGCCTTTCGCGAGGCTCGGCTCGGCGGCGATCTCGCAGATGGTCCGGGGCCAGCAGCGATCTTCGTCAGTGCTGTGGATGACGTTGAAAGTGTCGCGGATGGCTTCTCCTGATTCCTGGGTCTCAAATTCTGTGGCTTGACGTCGCTTGCGATAGTGAGACTCAGGAGCCGTCGTGTAGGCTTCAGGTTCTGGCGCGTAAGCAGGAGCATGGTGAACCCGGGGAGCGGGGGTGTAGGCGGGGAGATGATGTACGTGGGGGAGCGGGGGTGTAGGCGGGTTCATGGTGGACCGGGAGGGGCGGGGGTGTAGGCGGGTTCATGAGTGGGACCGGGGGGCGTAGGCCGGTTCATGGTGGACCGGGGGGTGTAGGCCGGTTCGTGGTGGAC